AATTTGACTGCAGTCATTTGAGAATGGGATGGAAGAACCGAATAAAAGGACCAAACGACTGTTTGATCCTCTTGACTTTCGAAACCTAAAAGCCCACCTGATCTCCTCACCGCAGTGCGGTTGGTCGCTGGCCAGCCCCTTTGTGGGGTGAAGATAAGGGGCAGCAGACATACTGTTTTTTTTTTTTTCTGTGGCGCCTTAAAGAGACATGATGGAGTTTTGTAACGATACAAGTTTTACTTTTCTCACCTTACCTGGAATTGCTATTGGTGTCTGAGTTGAGTTGGATGCCGGTTCACAAAATTCATCTTGAATATAATACTTCAAGTTTTTTTTCAGGTTTGGATACACAAAAAATGGACGCGCTTAATGTTGCATCCAAGAAACAGGAACTTCGGACCTGAAGTAAATTAAGGAAAATATGCTACAGGCTTATAGATGCATCTGTTTTTGGATAAAAGACCTACTGTATGAGCCTATTTAAAATACAATATGAAAATAGTATGAAAATAGATTTAGATTCACTTCTTTATTGTCAAATACACTTCAATGCACGCAACCACGGTTTGTAACACAAAGACATCCTCAGTTATCAGGTGAATATATGCACTGTTAATTAAACTTCACAATAACACTAAAACAACGTAGATTTGGTGAGCTGGCATGAACCTGAGTCAATGTGTTTGCGTCACACTTAACGCTATTAACTCCAAAATCCTTTCACGCAAACCACAAGGAAATAATTATATTATTACACTATTTAAACGTTAATGAACAGTTCTACACATCTATTACACAAAGAACCCAAGATCAAAATAACACTCTAAAATACTATGGTTACGTTAAACTGCACTAATAGATATGAAAGTGTGAGGCGGCACCATGCTATTTGAGCTACAAGCATGGTGCCATGGTTACAGATATCCAAATGTTTAGGTGCGCTTTGTAGTCGTGGAGATAGTCTTTCATGAGCGGATGAATTTGAAGTGCAACTCTGTGCCTTATTTCCTCCTCGTTTCTGTCAGACATTTACTTGTCTGCTGTTTCAAGCGGGATACCTCTTTACTCGGCGACCACTAGCTTTTTTGGCGTTGCCTTGACAACCTAACCTCCGTAACTTGTGTTGATTAGGCCTCAAAATAATGAAATTAAAATCCAAATACACGTAACAGTAAAATAAAACAAGTCAAAATCTTTTCCCAAAATATTCATAACAAATTTATAAATTGTGCAAAGTATTTTTAATAATAATAA